AAATAGCCATCGCACGTACAATTCTCTACACATTTATCAACTATTACAGCCGTAAAAAATCTACACGGCGAATCTACACGCTTCAGTGGCTTATCTTGAAGTGATTTCTCGCATGCACTATGATAACAGTCAGAGCTAGAGTCTATGATACTATAAATAGCCATCGCACGTACAATTCTCTACACATTTATCAACTATTACAGCCGTAAAAAATCTATTGTTGACGATTCTGAATAGCAGTAAAATTTAGCCTTTTGGATATTACCGCAGCTTTAGAAATTAAGTTCGTTTTATTTTTTAAATTGCTTTATCATTAACTGTACCATTAGGAGCTGCATCGTTTGGTTTAGTACAAATAATATCTCTGAAATATTTGCATTAGGCAAGAACATGATACTAGCAGTAGTTTCATTTTACTTTTACAGGGTTCTTAAAACAGTTGTTGAGTTGCCCAACGTGCGTGTTTCTAAATTCAATTTATTGTTCCAGCTTTCTGTTATGTTTCGTAAAAAAAGTAGTCTTGATTATCCCGGTCTGTTAATCAAACGTAGAATGGTCGGTAGACTGGTTAAGCCTAAATCCGTCCATAATAAATGTTTTATCACTCTCAAAATTTAAACAAGAATTCTCTAAACATGACCCGAAAATACCTCTCTTTTATTATATTGGCAAACGTAAAAATCAAATTATACATACTAAACTAAGACTAGGCTGCAGTAATCTAAAAAAAATTTAAAATTTACAAGACATATTTTAAATACTCCCGAATGTTCATGTAGTAATTCAATAGAAGATCCTTATCACTATCTCCTTATATGTTCCTCGTATTCAGATGCTCGCCATAGAACAATCTAATATATATATATATATATATATATATATATATATATTAAAGCTAAGTTTCAAGCTTCTAGAAATGGAACTTTTTCTACTTCTAAGTGCCATAGCCTACTTTGTAAATGTTGCCAACATATGATTATTAATACTAAATTCACTTTTTCTAATACTAATTATACGTTTAGAATTAATCATATGAATTGTAGTACTAAAAATTTAATTTATGTTCTTGTTTGCAATAACTGTAAGAAGAATTACATAGGGGAGTGCGGGACTGAATTACGCGCACGCATCCGAGTTCATAGGCAAAAGGGTTTACAAATTAATCCCGTTTTGAAAGTCTCTAAACATTTAAATACTTGTGCCAAGAACTTAATTAAATTTAGTATTTTTGCTTTTTATAAAGTCAATATTGACAATACTATCAAGAGGCGGAATATGGAAGCTTACCTGTGTGAATAACTCTCAAAAGTTGTTTTCATGAATGCAAGTTTGTTTATTTATTGTTTAATCAATTTATACCGAATAAAGATTACACAAACATAAAAAAAAAGTGTTAGTTGTGTGTACTCCATACAAGAAGTGGTATCGGGTGCTCTAGAGAGAATAAGCAAGCCCTCCTTGTGATAAACCTGTGACAAGTTTATACGACTCATTTTGCTCTGTTTCAGTATCACATGGTGTGTGTGGGGGCGGGGGGTGCGTGCGTAACGCCCGTCTCCATTTGCTCCAACTGAAGACGAATAGAAGGAATGTAGACAAAAATGGATAGGGCCGTGTGCCGTGCATTTGGAAAAATCTGCATATAAACATAATGTGCACATTTCATGCATGCATACAATTTAATTATGCCTATGAACTTTGACTAGTAGGGCAAAAGAAATATGTAAATAGCTTACTTCTTATTTGTCATGTTATTTTAAATGCTATAACGTCTTAAAAAGACACAATCGCCACGTTCTTTATATGAAAGGGAGCCATGATGGCTTGGTGAGCCAGACGTTGACTCAATGACATGGAAGTGCCGTATTCGATGCCCGCGTTGGCCAGAAAGTTCATTACGGCGTGGTTCCCCCTTGACTTTAGTGCAGGACAGGGTCTGGCAAGGAATAATGTGTAGTCATTTGGATGGGACGAAAAAAAACAGGTCCTGTGTATCCTGATACATGCACCTAAAAGATCCCTTGGCAGTTGGAATTCAAAATAACAGTATGCCGTAGAGCCGCTGTCCGCATAAAATTTCCCTCCTAGCACATTGTATGGATATGCTCTCTTCATTAGCCCAGTCGGAGCAGAACAGTGAGAGACTCGATTTCATTTAATTTAATTTTTTTAAAAGTTGAAAGATATTTCTATAGTTCAAAGAGCTAGAAAAAAGTCACCTGGCTGGGACAGCAGGTGTTTCCATATATCAGACAAAATCAACACCATGCTATGGACAATATTGTGCAAACATGAAACCCCCCAAAATGTCAGAAACTGTTCGAATATAACATATTGAATAGGTTTTATGTCGGAGAATTTACCCTTTCCCCCAGATTACCACACTTACGAGGTTCAGTCTCATATCCCCAGACCACTTGAATTAGGTTAAAAGGTGAATTATCGATATAATTAACGGCGATGGCTTTATGATCTGGGTATCTATCTACGTTTTAAATTTTAGGTTGCTAAGCTTTAACGTAGCAAGTATTGAAACGGACTGAAGAGTGAAGTCGAGTCAACTAATAGACTGCTAAAATATAACGAGAACCATTCCACCTGGCCAAAAGGTAACCTAAAAATAAAAAGATATTGCCGAGACCGTATTGCTGGAATCGGATTTACTTTCCGGTGCAGACGTTTCTGAAAAATCGATTAAGTCGTTTAAAACCTAGAAGGATCAGAAAATGAGCTGATAATGGCTGGAAAAATGCCGAGAAAATATCGAACAATAAACTGACATAACTTATAACAGCTATGTAGGTTAATTCTTTCGTCAGTAACATTTGGTGATTTCGGATTTGAAAAAAGTTTTCGAAAATATGTATTCCAAAGCCAACATCCATTCTGGGACACAGGTTAAAGATTTAGAAAGATTAGATTCTTGGATATAAGATTGACAGCATCTTAAAGAAATAAATTTTCCTGTAAACAACTTGTTGTCAAAGTGGAAATTCGAAATTTTGAAACTTTGAAATAACAAAAATACGGGCCTGAGCCGGGCTATCCAGAAATGTAATAATTTCGGTAATATGTTTTCAAGCCCATTAATGTGGATTTTTTTCACTATTTTTCATTTTCAATTCAAAATGGTGTCCATCATTTGCCCGAAATCAAAATTCTAAGCACTACATTTAATGGGCATTCCTTCAAGGATCCGGAAAATATAATTCCCTTGTCTGTAAGTAAAATATCAAAAATGCCTTAGGGATATTTCACATTTCTAGATGGTGGCACTTCTGGATTGAGCTACAAACTCCATTTTTTGTGTACGAATCAGTAGTGTCGTAGCTAGTACAGGAAAATTAATTCAAGGTAATCTGACCTATATTTCGTCGATTTTTTTTTGAAAAATTTGATCCTATATTTCTTCAAGGGGAGATAAGTTAGAAAATTTCTAATGACATCTTTCACGTCGCATCAGTAAGATCCACTTACATTCCAAAATTCAACAAAATCGTGTGAATATTAAAGAAGTTGTCAAGTTGGTCTCCACTTTCCGGGTCACAGCGACGAATTTATGAAATTCGAAAATCTGAAATTGCAGATGAAAATGATTTTTTTCAAGGTACTCAAAAAAAAAAGGATTAAAATAGGCCAAAAATCCACAATGTTATGACTATGCATTGTTAGTTTTTTCGTTCGTAAAATTCGATGATTTCGGATTCGTAAAACGTTTTGAAAATATATGTTCATTCCAAAGCCACCACCCATTCTTGGTGGGGTAGGTCAAAGTTTCAGAAAGATCCTATGGTTAGATTCTGAGATATACGATTTCCAGGAAAAACACAAAAAATAATAATAATATTAATCTTAACAATAAGCTTTCATATGAAATATGACAGCTTAATAATCTTAACAGAAACAATAAGCTTTCATATGAAATATGACAGCTTAATAATCTTAACAGAAACAATAAGCTTTCATATGTAATATGAAAGCTTAATAATAAAAATAATAATCCGAACAAAAACAATAGTGTTCCACAAAAGCAGTGTGAAACCCTAATAATGTAGTGCTACATCGACATCCGTCATTTCTTTGAAGCTGGTGTTCAGATCACGTGAACTTACTGGCCAAACAAATTGTTGTACGGGTATGCGCAGGAATGCACTGCTGTTTTTATTAGAGGTAACCAGTGTATGTTAATAACAAGCAATTGCCTACACATGAAGAGTTCATATGAGCGGCTTATCTGACGACCCCATTTCACTCGCAAAGAGATACACTGTCAAAAGTGAAAAAGGACGTTTTTGATTTTTGTCTTAAGAATGAGTGATTGCTCCACCAATCCTCAAGACATTCAGCAATTCGTCGTGACATGCTCCTAATTAACCGTCCAATCACGATTTGGGGCACTCCTCTTGCAGTGCCACGGCCAATTCTTCCAGTGTTGTCGGTTGACGTTGACGTCGACAAACACGTCTCCCGATCAAATTAAACGTAACACACTTAAACAAAGATACGCTAAACAGTAAATCTTATGCAAGAACCGATAGGAAAGCAAACATGGATAGGATAAACCAGCACGCGGCAGTTTTGATCAACCCTGCCTTGAAGTGTCAAATTTGGCAATGAACCCCTCCCACGTGTATGGCGCCATTGCGTGTCGCACATGAAGTGGTTCTGTTGGGGCGATAAGTTCTTCATCTGTGAACATACTCTCAAAGCATGTCAAGTGTCCATGACTATTTATCATATAACCTGCATAGGTATTTACATTTCAATACCCCCTACTTTTTTTTGTGAGTATAATTAGGTGATCCAGAAGACACGATTACTGGGAGGGGTGGGGGGGGGGGGGGCTTACCTCCCGCACTAAATCCACCTGATACAGTTTGTTGTAGGGTGTTTGGGGATCTACAATGATTATCCTTGGACCAATCCTCTAGCTTGTGGTATGTATTGATTGCTAGGAAATATTTAACAAATTGAATGACAGTTGAGTAAAATATACTTACTACAAATATACATTCCTTGCTAGAGTTTCCTCTAAAATATGCATTACCATAATAATGTCCAAGATCATGTGATTTTAACGTTTTATTAAAGCCATCTTTACAATATAGGGTAGGTGTTAATGATGCATCAGTAACAATATCAACACTTCCACCTGTTAGAGTTTTAGCACATGTATGTGACACTGATAAAAAAAAAGGAACAATCAACACAATTGTTTATAGCCATAACTCTGAATGAATGAATGAAATGGGGTTTGACATCCTACTATTCTGCATCTTCAAGTCTCTTCAATTATTACTTTTTATTATGCTTTGAACGAAAAATCAAAGAGGTGCCATGTGATATTGTAATAATGTTTACTATTAAATTACGTACGATAATTACACTAATTATTCATCTCAGGATTTTAAGGAAGACTAAAAATCTTTGGGACCTGGGCCAATCATATGAAATCAAAGAAAAGCGCCCAAAAGTTTACTTTGCCTCTCTTCACTCGCAACACTTTTTTCAAAATGTTGTATTCGCCATTGAACCTGTAATTTAAAAGCCCGGACAGAGATGGTATAGGCCACGCTTACCTTCTATAACAAAGGTATCTGTACAATATATATGATGCTGAAAAATAAAGGTAATTTTTAAAGATATCAATCGGAACATTCAGAGACTAAGTAAGCACATCCTGGTATTAAAAAAAACACCTCCATGGAGAAAGGGCTGTCTTGCACGAAATATAGAGCAGAATTATTATTAAAGTTAGAATACATCGATTTGAATGATATAACGAATGTTTTATAAAGTACCTTTCATTGTGCACTTCCCTAAACTGTATATTTGGGTCATTCTATATCAACTGGACCAATGGTGGAAACATGACCCCCACCTCCAAAAAGATAAAAAAATTATAGTTTATGACCTTAAACTAACAAATCCGAAATTTTACCTCTCTAGGTCGAAAACTCGCTGAGATATGGACATTTGAAATTAGGGTACTGAAACGGTCATAAATTCAGTAATGTTTTTCAGGTTTTCGGATACCTTAAACTCACATTTCTAATAGCAGTAGAACTCTCTAACTTTGTCATCTAAGACAACTTTTGATGTAGATTACGAATTGAACATCAGTCATTGTCCAATGCATACTTTTCGCACCACCAGGTTGCAAAATGTGGAACTAATGAACTAATCACTTTTATTTTCAGGATTTCCACAGTCTCTGGCAAAGTCACTATTGTATACACAAACTCAAATTGGCATAGTTTATGTCAGTTTGTCTTATCAATTTACAAAAGATTCTGAGTCGATGGAATATATACTTGTCCAAATATCCAGTCTCGAAATTCAATGCACACTGAAAACATACAAAAATATACCCATTTTCACCTTCAATTTTGGTCATGTGGGACAGAGGTAATTCTGATAATGTTTGATAATGAAACTTCAATTATCCTACTATAACATACATTAAAGTACATCTTGTGTATTTGATAACATATATACTCAGCCAAATTAAAAACTTGACACTGATGAATTTCAAATTCTGGTAAGTCAAATAAATTTTAAAGTGTTTCTAACGATAGTAAGTAGTAAGAAGCCTTTAATTTCATAAAATTGTAAAGTCACGTGGATCACATGACTTTTGAGCATATAAAGATGAAAAACCTGAAAAACACGTGCAAACTCAAACTCGTGAGGTCAATCGATGCAAGTTTGCTTAAACTGAACACGCACACGTAACTTGAACTGAAAAAACAAATTAAAATTGTTATTTTCATCTTTGTTAGAAAATGCCACACCTTTCAAATGTAGAACGTCTACGTGCTATAGGTAGTCTCTATGCTGGTCAGTCTGTGGTCACTGTTGCAAGAGCCTTTAATTGTTCACGCCAGACAATAATTAATCTTAGAATGAGAGTGCTTCAAACTGGAACTATTGCCGACCGCCCAAGGGCGGGAGCGCCACGTGTGACGTCACTCCAGGAAGATCAAGCAATACGATTACGTCATCACGAACATTATCAATGTCAAGGACTTTCGACGAGACGTATTCTTGTTTTCTGTTGATGTCAAGGTCGTCTGTGCACAACATAACACTAAAATAGTTGCCTTAAACCAAATATTAAAAATCTAGTCCCAAAAATCCCGAGTGTCAAGTTTTTAATTTGGCTGAGTATATTTTTAATTGACACTTGATATCTGTGCGGTGATGAAGTTTAATGGCTATTATGAAAATTGTTGACTTTGCACGTTGATTTTAAAATAACTTCTAAATGAGCTATACTCCTCAAACGTGTCTATTTAGAGAGACTTTTTACGTAGATTACAAATATGTAATCATTTTGGATGTACATTGTAGTGTTCTAATTTTATTGTGTCTCCAAAACGAGAACAAAGTGGTTAATATGCTTCACGAATTGGAATATTGGTTTTGACGATCAGATTAAAATTCTTTCTGAAAGACTTAGACCCCTCATATTTGTCATTTTATATTAGCTCTTACCATAGAATAAGAATAAAGACTCTTTTGGGATCCAGGGAGTATCATTTTAATTTAGTTTGGTTTAAAAACAGATGAAAACTTGTTTTGTCTGCTTAGAAAGTTGACGTACAGTGGGCCTTTTGTAGTTTCACTATCACTAGGCGCCTCAAAACTACAGGCCGCATTTCTTAACGCATCGTCTTAAAACTTTGCATACTAATTATTCCTTATACCCTAAGGATGTTCCTTATTGTTTTTGGTGCGTGCCCGACCCCCAGGGGCAGAGAGTCACGCTCAATTTTTGCATGTGTCAGTTTGTCGCCTACAAGCGACAATTCTTAACGGATTGTCTTGCAGTTGTGCATACTTATTCCTTATACCCTAAGAATATTCCTTATACCCTAAGAATAGAGAGACTTTTTGCGTAATTACAAATATGTAATCATTTTGGATGTACATTGTAGTGTTCTACAATTATTATTGAAATTGTGTTATTCTTGAAATGGCGCATGTTCATTTATTGAAATGATTATTACAAGAGCATCGCTACCGGTGCAGCAATATTCGCCCACAGTCCTGCTTTGATAAGGTACTTTTTCAAATGAACATGAAAAATGAAATGGCTGCAATGACTTTAATACAAGTATAACAAGAGGCAAAGAAGACTAGGCATTTGGGGTTTGTTTTGCCAAATTTACAGACTAAATATTAACAAAAAGTGAGTATGACACCGCCCCAGGAAGTCGGGGCATGCACCACAATAAATAGTAGCCACCCTACGGTATAAGGAATAAATATGTAATTCCATTCAGAATTCCAGCCTATAGACAAAAGCGCAAAAATTGTGCGTGGCTTTGCCCCTGGGGGTTGGACAAGGGCCAATATAAATAGGTACAATCCTATGATGGATCCAAATCTGTTAATTGCAACCTGTAGATTGTTTACAGACAAAATATTAACAAAAAGTGGGTGTCGCACCGCCGGGGTCATGCACCAACATCAGTATACCAAGTTCTAAGATAATCCATTCAGAATTGTGGCCTCCTGGTGCTAAAGGCAAAAAATAGGCTTAGCTCTGACCCTGGGGTCGGGACATGATACAAAGTAAATAGCTGCGGCACTTAGGCTATAAGGAATAGATGTGCCATGTTTGAAGATGCTCCATTCAGAATTGCGGCCAATATTCGATAAATAACCATAATTGTGGCCTTCACAAGATAAACACAACCAATAGTTGTTGTCCTTAGGCTATAAGGAATATATATACCAAGCTCCTTGACGATCCATTAAAATTAGAGGCCTGTAGGCAACACAGGCACACAAAGAAAATATGGGTGTGGCTCAGACCCTGGGGGTAGGTCATTCACCAGAAACATAGGGTATAAGGAATAGGTATGCAAAGTTTCAAAAGGAGCGGTTCGAAATTGTGGCCTACAGCCGACACAAAGTCACACACACAATTGGGCGTGGCTCTATACCAGGGAGTCGGGCATGCACCAAAAATAATAGAGGTCATCCTTAGGGTATAAGGAATGAGTATGAAATGTTTCCATTAAGAATTGCGATCTGTGGGCGACACACAGGCACAAAGAGAAAATGGGCGTGGCTCTGCCCCTGTTGGGCATGCACAAGGAATAAGGGTACAAGGAATAAGTATTCAAAGTTTCAAGATGATCCATTAAGAATCGTGGCCTGAACGTGACAAATACAAAAAAAAATGGGCGTGGCTCTGTCCCCTGGGGGCAGGCGTGTTCCAAAAATAATATGTTATGGTATACGGAATAAGTATGCTAAGTTTCAAGACAATTCATAAATACACCATGTAGGCAACCCACCGACACACATACATATACCCCCCACCCCTCCCACCTACACACACAGGAGCGACGGCATAATACGTCCACATGGTCATTCATTTAAATGATACATGATCATTTATTTAATGATAGGTGATCATTTATTGAAGGGATTTTATTGAAAGGATGTATATGTATATGGCTATTTATTGAAATGATTATTTATTAAAATGATTGTTGAAAGATTATTTATCGAAATGGTGTATGGTTATTAAATCTATGTACAATTATTATTTAAATGATACCTGATCATTTATCGAAATGGTTGTTTATTTAAACTACCTGTACGTATGATTATTTATTGAAATGAAGTATGATTATGTATTATACATTTGATATAACTTAAGTACTTACCACCATTCCTGCTATGACCAGAAGAAAAGGCCACCACATTATGTCTGTAATAAATATATCAAACTTATACTGTACTTATAAAAATCAATTCCAGACATATCACAGTAATTAGGTTATATAGGGTTTATACAAAGGCACTTGAAGGGATTAAAATAAAATTTGTTACAACTGTTTGACTATATATTACAGTATTAAGAAGGTGCATCACCCGACATTTTGTTTTGACTTGTTGACATTTCGTCTGCTATCATATCTCACAATACTTACTAGTTCTAGCGCTTCCCGTCGTTTATATAGCCATCGAGACTTCATTTAATCCTTATACAGCTTCCAATATATTTAAATTTGTCATTTTACAACGTTATTAATTACAAATCAACCCCGAAGCGCTATCACATGTCTATTTCAAACTTCGTTGGACCGGTAGTTGCACGAATTGAGGTCAAAGGAATTTCCTTTTGTTTTTATTAGTAACAGTCTGTTTCACCCAGTCCCTTCATTAACCTATCCGTTATGCGAAATTTGCCTAGGGACTGGATGACCCAGACTGCACCAAGACACTACCGCACGTGTTCATCGGGTGAAAATGAAAATTGCCCTGGTATTAATTCCAGAGCAAAGTCAGGCTTTTGAAGTTATAAAAACTGGCCACAATTTTGTTGTAACGGGACGTCATATAGTGTCGCTGTCTGTCTATTTGTGCATACAAACAAAAAATGCGGGCATAAAGCAGAGTGACTACACTAGAGTGGCACTATACACATCGGTTGTTTTTTTTTACGCATCATTTTGCTGAATAAAACTTTAAAAGGCAAAATATTTTTTCCCAAAAAATATTATAGTTTTGTACCACTACCTGTCTACCCGAGAGATCAATTCAGTTTTCACAAGTACGTTGCATACTAATGAGAGTATTCAGCTGTTATTCTGAGATTCTTAATGTTAATGTTAATTTTAGTATTAGTAACACGTCTCGACCAATTAAAAATAAGGGCTTCCCCAACGCGACGTCAGTGATCTCATTTCGTGTAATTTCCGGTCCAACGAAGTTTGAAATGACCATGTGATAGCGCTTCGGGGTTGATTTGTAATTAATAACGTTGTAAAATGACAAATTTAAATACATTGGAAGTATCGATGGCTATAAAAACGACGTGAAGCGCTAGAACTAGTAAGTATTGTGAGATGATAGACGAAATGTCGTCAAAAAGTCAAAACAAAATGTCGGGTGATGCACCTTCTTAATACTGTATTACATAGTCAAACAGTTGTAACAAATTTTATTTTAATCCCTTCAAGTGCCTGTGGGTTTATAGTTTAATTCGGTAACCGATGAAAATAAAAATTACATTTTAGTCTTGCATATGATTGACACATGGCCATGTACCTATTTTTTGTTAATTACTATTTTAAACACGGTAAAACACCCCTCACCTGACCGACCCTATTCGCAACACCCCGCCCTACCCTCCTAAAATTATTTTTCATAAACATCGGTTGGTGTTTAGCACTTTGTGATCGTAACCATGTAGTGAACTAGAAACAACAGAGTCGGATACAATTATTAGTAGTGACCAATTTTACGATTTTAACACATAATAATAAGTACAATACCGACACTGGTCAGATGAACAACAGTCAATCAAATGATGTTAGCTACAAGAAAATGGCATGATTGTTCACTAGTTTGTCTATAAGAATTTGAAATACAATCGAATTTTAAGTATTTACCTGTTTTCAGGAGAAATTGGTGACTATATTAACAGTTGGGTATACACTTCCACAACCATGGACGGTCAATTTAATGTACATGCGCGTAAAATACAGTGTACGGATGCACGTGCACAAAAGATCGCTGAACGGATCTGAGTTTGGGCAATAGTTTCATAGGCCTACGGGAATCATTGTGTTATACTAAACATTTAGATTGACTTTGGTAACGAACATTGCGCAAATACCGCCCAAAAATATATGATTATCACACCCCGACCCCATCCCGTCCCTACAAAAACATTTACATTTTAATCCGGAAATTTCGATTTACTCTAAACCTGAACATTAAACAATTCTAAAACGCTTAGTCTCTATCATCCAGAATAATATTCTACGAATATTAGTCTGGATACGTTGTTAACGTTTGAGAAGAGCAACACGCGCTTTCACTCTTTTTCATCCAGACACACTCGTACATCCAGACTCTCATTTTAAACATAACAGAATCTGATAATGTTTGAACTGCATATAGATATTAAAGACGCAGCGGTGCGTGATTTTAGCTATATGCATTCTATAGTATTGTGAAATTTGAATATCAGCCCAAAAATGGTTCAAAATGGTAAAATACGTAAATGTGTAACTGTCTAAGTCACTTGTTAATTCTCTGGTCACTTCTCGATTAGTTAACTTTAATTCACTTTTAGTTGGTTTACCTTTAAAGCGTATAGATAAATTACAAAAAGTACAGAATACTGCGGCTAGACTTGTTACTTTAACTAAGAAATGTGACCACATAACTCCTGTTTTATATAATTTACACTGGTTACCTGTTAAATATCGAATTGGTTTTAAGATTTTATTACTTACTTTTAAATGTTTAAATAATTTAGCTCCTGTGTACCTTTCAGATCTTTTATAACTTTATACACCTGGCCGAACATTACGTACATCAGATAAACTACTTTTAAAGCCGAAAACTGTCCAACTAGCCCCTTATGGTCAGCGCTCTTTTAGTTATCAAGCACCGGTTTTATGGAATAATCTACCATTTAGTTTATGATGTTGTACATCTCTATATTCTTTTAAAAAACAACTTAAAACACATTTATTTAATCAGGCTTTTAACTGACTCTGTATACAATTGTTAACATGTCCATAATCTTGTTGTTTATGTATGATTTACATTGTCACTTTGTAAAAGTGCCCCTGAACATGTTATATGAAAGGGTGCACTATAAATATGCTGTAATAATAATAATAAAAATAATAGTATTAACAAAGATATGGCCATTTGAAATTCAATCTATCTACGCTGCTCTCCCTGTCTAACGAAACGGCCGCCACATATTTTATTTACTACGGATAAAATTGATGGGGTATGTTTTAAATCCGATTGATTGAATGTTGATTTTATTTTCTAACATGGTATTTTAGAACATTAGTTTTCGAAAATATCTGATTAAGTTCGCTAAATTTAGTCATATATTTATTTTTATTTAGTAATTTTCAACTTAAGACGGTGCCAAATTCCCAGCCACTTCCCTGCAAATTTGTTGCTTCTAGATTTAATATTTTGCCATTCACAATTTTGTATAGGAGTTCCCCTAAAATCATGCATTATGAATTTGAACTGAAGGCTATTTTTTTAATTTTTTTTTAAAATATATATTGTCAGTTATTTGAGTGTCGGTTGTGTAGTGGCGACCATTTCTTAAGACCGTTTGGAAATTTATTCTTTTGAGATCATTCGTGGAAATAAGTAATAGTTTTGGATAGTGATAGTTTTGGTTACTGATAGTTTTGGTTAGTGGCCTGGATCTATTAATTAATGTCCAATTAATAATTTAGAAAACATTTCAGGCCTAAAAAAAACCCTGCAATAAACAGATTTAGCTCTTGCAAAATGTATGTTTAAGTTTTGACCCTTTCAGTCGTAAGTGATAGTGATAGCTTTATCATCCGTAAATGATAGTGTTGGCTCTATCAGCCGTCAGTGATAGTTTTGGTTCTTTAAGCGGTAAGTGATAGTGTTGGCTCTTTCGGCCGTAAGTACTAGTTTTGGTCCTTTCAGTCGTTAGATTTGGCTCTTTCAGCCGTAAGTCACAGAGTAAAAATACACAGAGTGGCGACTCGCATTACGGCCCTTAGAAACACATCGACGCGCAATGCATCTTGGGAATTGTCTGTAATAAACACACACTGACAGTTCGCTCAACGACGTTACGATATCTATATCGATGAACTAAATCTCTTTAATTTCGTAGTTTTTATAGTATTTTCGGTATCAAAACTACTGAGAATTATCACATACAATCATAATATGTTAGTTGTGTGTGTGTTTCGGGATTTATAAAACATGATTCATATTTTTAAAACATGCATAAAAGCGTGGTACGGCCCGGAATGAAGTGAGACTGAGACGAGAGACGGCATTTGTGACGGTTTACGAATTGGTCTATTTAAGGCCGTAAATTATTGTCGATTTTTAAGAGGTTTTATTAACTTTGAAACTATTCCACCAAATACTTGTTGTTTCCATTCCTAGATTTGAAATGTAATTTCCATACACCTTAAAATGGGCCATTTGAAAATGTCAAAGTACCGCGCCCTTTTTTGGATAAGGCCTAGCTATTTTACTCAACATCAACATGACTTATTTTTCTCCCAAAGAAAAATTCCTTTGTCTTCTAGAGCTTATTACTATGTGCTTCTCTTATTTATGTTATCTTCATAAAGTAAGCTTTCATTAAAATATAAAACAATAATTTAAGAATATTAAAATTGAATTTCAAATAGGCATATAACGTTTTCCAATAAACAGATTTGAACCGTTGGTTGTTTTCCAAGGTAAAATACCTTTGGCTCCAACGTTGACTCACCGTGTGCTTTTTATGATTTTTGTTCTATTAATTAATGTAGGCTTTCATTTTTAAAAAATAAAATAATTAAAGATATTAAAATTCTATTTTAAATAGGCCTATAACATTTTTCAATAAACATTATTTGAGTTGATTGGTTTCTCTTTTTACAAACAAGTATAAACCAAAAACAACTTGAGAATGAATATTTTGCATATTGCTCTGGGTGTCATGTAATGTTTTGACGGCCTTTATAGCCCCCCCCCCCCCAATACTATGAAATTGTCCATTTTACACTACTGCACAAGAATATATTAAATTATTATAAATCTGAAGTTTGCTCTAGATATCCATGCCATTAGGTCTGATCTGTGTTCAGAGTTGCTTTTATTTTTGTGATTTTTTGTCAACTGATTATTTAGAAATAGAAAATTTAATTTATACTGTGTTCTATTATGGAATTATCTGCCATACAAACTGAAGTTAACCATTACAGCGCTAGAAGTCGAGGGCGAGAGTGCGAGAACACGAGGAAACAGGGCGAGAATACGAGGATCTCGCCCCGAGAACACGAGATTACTTACACCTCGACTTCTCGCTCCCTCGTCCCTCGACTTCTCGCTCCCTCGTGTTCTCGACCTCGACTTCTCGCCCTCGACTTCTCGCTCCCTCGTGTTCTCGCCTTTAAAAAACCTCGACTTCTCGCTCCCTCGCCTTTGAGTTAATCTCGTCCTCTCGTGTTCTCGCTCCATCGCTTCGTCACAATCTCGACTTTCGTCTTCTCGCCTCGGAAGTGCAAGTATTAATTTTCGTGCGCAACAAAAAATCTTTCAAAAATCTATCAAAATGCAAATTTCATTTGACCAATTTCGGCATATGAAATCTACGTTTGTCCAGATTTTTTAATAACATTTTGCTACACACGAAATTAACTAATTTTAGGATAAAAAAATAAAAAAAGGAAGGTTTGAGAGTATTTATTAAACAATGCATCTTGGTCGTGTAGTATAAACAATTAAAATGGCGAATTTATATACATAAATGGTTCGGAGTGGGGGTCATCCAACACGTAGGCCTACATTTTAGTAACTCGTTATCAAGTCGCAAAACTTGTATTTTAATTGTTTAACCTCATTTTTTATATTAATTATGTTTTAAATTTTAGTCAAAACGTGTGTTTTCGAGCCACGAGCAGAGATTTAATTTTCCTATCCTATGCTTATTTATTATTACAGGTGATGAACTCATTGTGAATATTTGTTTGGCGGATACACCAATATTGAAATCTCTGTATTATTATTATTAAGGCACAATACATCAGTAAGGTATGCCTTTCTTGGTGTGTGTGATTGTGTGATATGATGTGTGTCATTGATTTTATGGAAATTTATGGAAATTTATAATGAATGACAAAAGCAAAGAAATATAATATGTTCTTTTAGAAAATGACTAAAATCATGTATTTTTGTTTGTTTAATATTAATTCAGTGAAAGGCAAATAAGAAGAATTCTTAAAAGATATGGTCATAGGCGAAGAGGTGGAGTCTATAACAGCTGCTATAAGAGTAGGTGTGTAGCCTACGTAATAGGCTAAATTTTACTCTCCGAAACCTTACATAACATATCTTGTGAAGAAATGACCCCAGTTTGGAGAAAGTGGGAATAACGAGAAGCAACAACAATATCCCACACCACATGGTACAGTCTGTATTTACTGTTATAATCACTAGGGCTTATTAAGAGTACTTTAGACCTATGGCTGCTTACTGAAGAAGTGCCCAATTTTGCGAACAAAATGACAATACATAAGACAGTTATTATGTAACACCGTGTGTTTTTCGAAGACTTTTGCAAAGAAAATATTAAAAACGGACTCATTAGACAATGCTTGAGATATCCCTGGCGATGTAGTTGTATCAGATACCTAAGACTATTCAACATTTGCTGGTATTTTCAACGGTATCTTTAGAAAATTTAGTCGACTCCCAGCCGGATTTGAAGGCCTAAATTTTTTAAAGGGCTTACGTTAATGCCTTATTAGCCTAATGGTTAACCCCGCCTTGATAATGACCAATGCTTTAGATATAGGGTTCTAAATCCAACCACTTTATTGGGTTGTCATGGAAATAACAAATTTTTCTTTTATTTCAGGAGGAATTGACTGAAAGTGGACGGTTTCTCGGTTACCGGGCTTTAGCGAAAAGACTCCTGTCAAAACATGGCCTACGTGTTGCTAGGTATTTCCATCCTGTTTTGCTATGCAACCGCTT